TAAATCGAACGCTTATAATTAATTTTAACTTTGATAAACGTACATTAGAATTGTAATACAATCGATTATTTTTGCTTTTTTGAGTTTGGGAATGTGAGCCAATTTTTATTCCATAAAAATTTCCGTCAGTGTGCTGTCTTGAACAACTATCACTTAGAGAAATTTTTAGCCACAAATCATATGTTTCGAGGGAATCTCACTAAATTTTTCTCATCAAAGAATCCCCTTTGTCACATTTTGAAGAGTCCATGAAAAATCTTTAAAAAAAACTTTGAAAATTTGGCAGGATTGTCGCAAGCATTTTGTAGATCAATGAAGATCGTTAAAAAAATTCGAAGAATGTTGAAGACAAAAAACAAACAAATAGCAAAGAGCTTCGAATATTTACCTAAGTTTTGTTTTTAAAAATCCGGTAATTGTGAGCGCTTAATAATAAGTTAAAAGCGATGTAAAATTCGAAATTTCAAGTTTTAAGAGATATTAATTGAAACCTTGCGACCATGAAATTACTAAAAATCAACAATACAACAATCAACTTTTGTACAAAATATTTTTAAAAATTCACTGATGATTTTCGTTTTGAAAGAAATTTATGGCAATAAAATGAGGCATTTATAAATGAAGACATGAGCTGAGCAACAAAATGAAGCTTCAGGAATATTTCGCATTTTACCACAGAAACAACAATGCATTTTATTCGGTAAGCTTGTTAATTAAGAGGAGCTGGAAAATTATACAGTTTTAACAGTTGGGTAAAGAGTAATTAGATGTTCCATACGTTTCGTCATCGATGTTGGATAATGTGAAGTCGCACGAAATTTCCTGCTTGTTTTTTCGCACATTTTCGCAAAACTGGGACAAACTTTTCATGGTTGTTTCTAGAAGGTTCGAGCTCGTCACTCGATCACGTAGTGCTTGATTTCTAGAATGCCATTCAATAAACAACGTGTTTATAAATCTTACAGCGCCTGAAAGCAGCAAGTCGGAAACCACTTCAATTTCCATACCTTCAATGTCCATTTTCATGAGAACTCTTGGAGGATTTTTCTCATCGATCGTTCCAACTTCTCGACAGCCGACATCATTCCTCAGAAAATCGGCCAATCGGAGAAGACGAACAATTTTGTACTCGGCAGAATTGTGTTTGGCAGTTTTCATGATTTTTGGCGGCAAAACTCCCCCTCCCCATTCGTTTTTTAAGAACACGTCATCGGTGTAGAAAGTGCCAAGCCCGTTTCGGTTTGAAGCAGCTGTTTCAGTTAAGATGCTAACTTCCCAGCCGCATTTTCTATAACTAGTTTCAATCGTTTTCAACCAATAAGTGTGATGAGAGTTCGGCTCAAAACCAACAGCGCACACTTTTTTCGGCTCATCTGTCCTAAGGCGTTTGTCCGGAGGACCAAAAGTGTTGTCAAATAATTCAGATACTTTTGCCCCCGGGTATTTTTCCGGCTCAAAGAGCTTACGAATTTGAACTCCGACATTTGTTCCAACGTCCAAATAAACATGATAACAGCCGTCCAAACTGGATTTTTCCCCCGTACTATCAGCGAGCGGCAAGCTTTTTTTAAACTCGGTAATCACAGTCATTTTCTTTTCCAAGTCGCGATTATAAGCGTTCAAGTCGCAATCATTTGAAGATTTCATTTCATTTAAAGTGAAAATTTGAAACAGTATTATTATTGTGCTTAGAAGTGTAGCAAATGAGAAAATGATTTTTATTAATTGGACCCTAGCCATAATGGATTTTGACAAATCCTAGAGTTGTTCCAGAATAAAATTGTAAATACAAATTATTAATATCAAAAAAATATAATCATGAATTCAAGTAGTATAACAATTCATTAAGTATTGCTGAGATCAACGCAGAAGAAACAGCTTCGATTTTTAGTAAGTTAAGTAATGACTAGCGTTCCTGAGACAGGTAGCATAAGCAATAATAAACTCGTTCACGAATAAAGCACGTTACAAAAATTATTATAAACGTACAATTTTGGCAGCGCCGATTCGAATGGCCACCGTAAGGCTTTACAAGTCTGTTTGCAAGTACCATTTGAGAGCAATTTAGAAGATCAGAATCAAGATTTTTGTTTTTATCCGATAGAGCCCTAACGTTTTGCATAAACCGTTTTTGTTGATGTAGATCGGAATCATATAGACCGACAAAGATTTTTTATAATGATTTTTAATATGAAACAATCTGTTACTGATATTTTAAAAAGTTCAACCCAGTTGATGTGTGCCAACCCAGTTGTCAAAGTTTAACCCAGTTGTCTGTAGTGTGCCCCTTGTGTGTCTGTTTGTGTGACCCTAAGTGTCTGTATGTGCGCCCCCATGTAAACAGAGAGTTTACAGACAGGTAAAAATGAGCACAGAAGATATCTAGAACAGAATATGTTTGGCGACAAAGGTGCTTTTAGAAAATTTTTAGGGCTGGTTGCCGAAAATGAATGTCATAAAATATTACCAAACGGGGACCTTGTGTTTGATGAGGGGATTGAATCTCTGGAGGAGGGGCACTGCATAAATAAATCAGTTTTATCTTCAAATTGAATGTGGCGCACGATTCGCCCTATTTTGTTCCTCTAAATATTAGTACCACATTTCGCTTCTCACTCATTTTCCCAATGCTTAACAAATGACCTTGTTTTAGAGATATTAGGGTCAAAACATTAACTGTACGAGGAGCAAAACGTGCCACTAAACGTATGAGTGGCAAATATGTGTGAGGGGCTAACTGTGTGTCGACCCTTCAACTTGATGCGTGCTTGCCAGCCCGGAGGCAGAATCTGTATCTGAAAAAGCCTGGTGATTCTGGCGCGCGCATAGAGTGACAACCCCGGCATGGGTTTGAAAAGCTTGACGCCAAATATGTAAATGATTAGATGCGAAATAAGTCAGCGTCGAATTGAGACATTAAATCTAGAGGGGCGAAATACGCGAAGAGCGACGTGTGAGAGATGCGAAACATATCATTACGAGGCCAAACTCTGCACTGGATAGACGCACAATTTTGTGTCTGTATGTTCTGTTCCTGGATTCCAGAGACAAGTCTTAAAATATGTTCCAAAATGTAAGTGGATTCCACAAACAGAATTTCAGTGGATTCCGCATACATATACTTGTAACGTAATTTTTGTCAGCACAATTGTTTTGTTGCGGATTCCGCAACAAGAAAATATAGCTAGTTGATCTGGATTCCGTAACTGTAAGTGGATTCCGACTTTTGTTCAATACTGAGCTTGTATATGAACAATTAAAAGCTGAACTGGAATTCTTATCTCTAGCAATGCGGAGTTTAAAAGCAAAGACGTAACCATTGTCAGCGGAATCCACGAACAAGTCTTAAAACATTGGTTACCTAAATCGGTGGATTTCATCTTTTAGTATTTTGGAAACACAACACCGAACAATTTCAATATTTGGGGTCATTGAGTTGAGAGTGTATGGAACACACAGCATATCGACAAATTAGGTTAGTATTTGGGATTGCGTCAATCCCAAATACTGATTTTGGAAGCATAACGCCGAATAAATGCAGTAATTGTGATCATTGTGTTGAGAGTGTATGGAAACACAACACACAGCATATCGCCAAATTAGGTAGTTCTGAATTCCGCAACTCTAAAAGGATTACACAAAAGGTATGTGGAATCCGCACATGTAAGTGGAATCCGCAAAAATTGTAAGCGGAATCCGCAATTGTAAGCGGATTCCGCAAACTGTAAGTGGATCCAGAATTTTGTTTATTACTGAACTTGCATGTGAACAATTAAAAGCTAGAGCTAGAATTCATATCTATAGCAATGCGGATTTTAAAGGCCTTTAACCATTAACAGCGGAATCCACTAACAAATCTCAATACATTTGTTAACTAAATCAGTGGATGTCACCTTTTAGTATTTTGGAAACACAACAGCGAATAAATTCTATATTTGGAATCATTGGGTTGAGAGTGTATGGAAAAACAACGCACAGCATATCGCCAAATTAGGTCAATATTTGAGATTGCGTCAACCCCAAAAACTAATTTTGGAAGCATAACGCTGAATAAATTCAATATTTGTATTCATTGGCTTGAGAGTGTTTGGAAATACAACGCACAGCATATCGCCGAACTAGGTCAGTATTTGAGATTGCATAAATTCCAAATACTCGTCAGTATTTGGAATTCCATCAATCCTAAATACTGATGATCTCGTAGGTTCCGATTCTAGCGAATTGAGATTGAAGTTGAGATCGAAGTTGACAGGATTTGAGATCGAAGTTGGGTTGACAGGAATTGAGACCAAAGGTTAGGTATTTCAAATGGTAGTAGATCAATTTAGTAATTCAGATTGATTTTTCTCTCAACCATCTAGTAAACAAAATATATAAATTTAAACGCTATACTACACACATACATATATGTAAGCGGAATCGCAAATAAAATGCGGATTCCACTTGCAATTTGCGGATTTCACTTGCAATTTGCGGATTCCGCTAACAGTTGCGGAATCCTCAACAGCTCTATTCAACTATACAAATGTCCTATTATTGGTTTTTGGATTCCACAGAACGTTCTGGATTCCACAAATACGGTTACGGATTCCCCAAAATTGCCTATTTTTGGAGCAATTTTGAGCGGTATAAAGTAATAGGTATTTGTTTGTGCAATCCAAAACAGCGAAGATGATCAGAGAAAAGTAGCAAAGTTGCGAAATCCGCTTACAATGCACGGAATGCTTAGTTTGGCCTCGTAATGATGCCATTCGTATTTGTCTAGTCTTACAAAGTAATAAATCGGCAAAAATTTCTTTGATTTTAGTGACTTTGGCTGTTTTTTAAGCTTTTTGTTATTTTTTATCATTTGTTTTTAAGTGTTCAAAATGTTTTCGACAAATCTATGTTTTATCTCACAATGTTTGTTGCAGTCCCTCATTTCTACTTATCCTGACAACGCCCAATTATCAAAAACAGCAAATGATGTTTTAAATTAAAATGTATGTTTGTTTCATCCTTTTAAACTTAAAAACTTCAAAGGCAAATTTTTGATCTACCTCATGATTGTTACAAACACCGTTTCTGTTCTTAAAAGTGTCATGAATAATAATTTTTTGTACAATATTCAGATTTGACTCTGTTCATGCAAATAGTTTATAGCTTTGTTTATCAAATTTCAGACACAATTTTGAATAGCATATAATAATTTGCGTGTAGTCGCTTTTTACCCTGGGTCAGTGTTTTAAAATACTAAATTCAAATGCTCATTTACAAATCAGTTTTTAAATAGATGCTTGTTTGATTTCTGGACGTGTAGGTTGAATGAACGAGTTTTCATCTCCCCTCCCTCCGTCCAGTGCTCCCGCTCTGTCCGAACTGTTTTTGAGCGCCCTAGGGGTAGCATTTCTGCCCCTCTCTGGTCTCTCTATTGTCAGGGAGTTGTCGTCTTCATCTGATTCCTCCCCCTCTCCTTGATCGTGTTCGGGCGTGGCTTTCTGGGGCTGATTGCGTGGCAACTTGCTCTTGGCCTGTATCATGAAAAAAAAAACAGAACATCTATCTATTTACAATCATAAACTTCATTTGATTTTTAAAGTGTAGTCATCAAAGTCATTTTTGTTTGTTTTGCTTGACAAAAAAAATGATTCTATGAATGAAATCATGGCACTACTGGTAAACTTGAAATCAGAAAACATGTAAAGATAATTGAAACGATCAGCATATTGATCGTTATTATAGAAAGCGGATTCTGGCTCTCATTTTTTTCAAAGAAGCAACCAGACAAAAAAGGAGTTCATTTTCTGTTCCAAATATTTCCCCAAATATACAAAATATTTAAGCGCGGGGTAGTTTTTTGTTTTTGTTCCGACTTTCGAAGAAAGTGATGAGTAAATTTGCTTTTTTAACATTGTTTTTTAATTTTGTTTTTAACTTTGTTTTTTTTTAACTTTAATTTTTAACTTTGTTTTTTCAGAACAATTTTACAATTTCACAAAGCTCTTTGCTCCCTAGGGAGATTGATCCCGCACTACAAAACTGGAGTATTTTTCTTTTTTTCCCTATCTAGCATCAGTTTTATGGTGTGATGAGTAGGTAAACGATGTTAAACATGAAGATTAAAAATGTATGCCATGTCCTAGTTAGTCCGCGTGTCAATTTTCTTATCAATCAGACGATGCAATGCAAAAAAAAGCTGTAAGCATTTGCAGGTGAGGAGGGACATGATAAAACCAAAATCGTTCCAAATTGAATTCAGGTAATAAGCTAATTGGTCTTATTAATTCTATACACGACTATCACAGACTGGCCAAAATTTATTATACCAAAAACTGTTCGAGACCTATTTCGATTTTTTATTCGGCAGTTTTTGACAGAATTTCTTTTGTATCAATCGAAAAGTATTGTTGTCCTGAGCTCACATTTACAAAAATATTTGGTTCTTTTCCAACCCCCTCCCACATTTGAATTTCAGTTATGACACAGAGGTGAAGCTTCGTTTCGCAAAAATTAGAGAGAACACGACAAAAAGCAGCTCTATAAAGTACAATGAGAAAAAGTAGAAAGTAGAAATAAGCCTCGAATTAGCAAAAATCAGGCTACTTCTTCTTGGATTGAGACCTAGAACTTATGAGTCTTCTGCACTAAACACAGCTACGGAAGCTTAATTTATGTCCAACACTAGCCAAAAATGAAGCAGAGAACAGATGCTATGCAGTTTCCAATGCTACAGTGAATTTTCCAATGGGTGAACACTTTTAATGAAAACTTTAAGTTGCGAATTACGTTTAAAAAAGTTCATAATAATACACAGAAGTTTAAAAGACTATTTTAACCTTTTCATAAAGTAATGAAATTTTGCATGGTGAACAAACTCACTATTGTGAACAGATTTGTTCTTCATACTTTACATCGCAATATCACCTGTTTAGCCATAATCACACGTAAAACAACTAAAAAAATTGAAAGTCTGAATCTTATGGGGAAGTTGGACAAGAGCCAGACATTTCACCTGTGATCATTTTTCGTGAAGATATATGGGTTTAACGATTGCCAACTTGAGACAATTAATGCGCGTTATATTTCGTGGTATGGTGTTTTCAATACTTTGCTATTTCCAACATAAATCACTTGGTTTTTAACATAGCGTGTGGGGGGATTGAAAATTTTATAAACAGTTTTTATAAACAGTTTTAAATTACTACATAAAAATTAAAACGCAGTCGGAACTTTCAGGGCTTCGCCCTGATACGAGCAGTCTTGTTACCTAAAAGTTTTACTTTTACCAGTGAAATGTTTTTTTTAGCACCAAATTAACAATTTTCTATCGCTAAAGTTTTGATAAATATTTTCTACTCTATCGAAGTTCATCAATAACTAATTAATCGATCAATAAAAAAATGCGGAATCATTCATGAAAATGTTTTTTAAACAGGGCTACCATTTTTTCATCGATGACTAATAGTGGCAGCTCAACTCGGGGGTAACCGTTTCCGTAGAAACGAGCAAATTAAACCCATTTTACTCAGAATCTTAGACTATTTTTTGTTGATTACAAAAACTATATCAAGTATTGTGCGGTCATTGTCTACGAAGTAGTCTACGATGAAAAAATCCACAGAACTTGTACTGCTGCTACCCAATGCGGAAGAGTCTGAGGTTTCATTAACCTTTCAATACTGGAGAGACAGTGAAAAAAGTGAGAATAGTTGTAGTTTTCTGGTATCTTTTTGACTCAGTTAATTTATTTGATTTCTGGAGTGAAAACCATAAAAGCAGCTCAAACCAGGATAGCCGGTTGTGACGCATCTAGTGCAAATTGTTTAATGATAATGGTTTAATAAAAAAAAGTTCAGAAATATGTAAAAGTCTCAAAAAATGTTAAATATTTTCAGAACCTGGTAGTGGCTGTAGTAAAGGGAGAAGTTGGACACTATGACTGGCACTGGCAGAGCTATGGTCAGCAGGCCACACAATGCACACAGTGAGCCTACCAGCTGGCCCGCAAACGTACGAGGAACCATGTCTCCATAACCTAAGCAAATCAATTCTTTCCAATCATTCTGCACTACTTCGACATTCGGTCGAAAAAATTTCATGTCCCTTTAGTTCCTTCCACGAAAGTGAAGTGGCTAAGCTATCCGTGTAGCACTCAAGTTTAGGTGAAAATAGGGTCAATCAAGTGATATGGGAGATTTCGGGAAATCAATTTAGTTGACCTAAAGAAAATAGGCAAAATGATTGAAAACCCCTCCCCTCGATAAAATCTTAGATCTGCCCCTGGTTCGAGGCCAAAAATAATCCGTGTTTTTCCTTCAGGGTTAAATAACAATTCCAAGCCCATAGAGAGAATCAAAAAGAATTAGAGGGCACAAAATAGGAGAGCCTTCTAAAAAAATCTGAGTCGCTTGTCCTCTGCCTCGTGAACAAAGTCTCTTAAACACTTTTTGAATGACTCACCGAGTGTGGTCATGGTAACGAGTGCCCACCAGAATCCATGCGGTATATCCACGAAGTCAGTCTCATTGTCATTGGCAGTCAGCCTTTCTGCATAATAAATCAAACTGGCGAAGATGACCACGCCCAGACACAGAAACACAGCCAGGATGAACAGCTCCTTCATGCTGGCATGCAAAGTGTGCCACAGGATCTTGAGGCCGGTCGAATGGCGGGTCAGTTTGAACACGCGGAACACCCGGAGCACTCTGATCACTCGGAGAATGCCAGCCGCTTGACTCTCACCGCCCTCGGACGAAAAATCTACAGGCAAAAAAACACAACACAGTTTTAATGAGTTGGACCGGTTTGTCCGAAAACCTCAAAAAAATTACTTAATTTTCTTAATTATACGCTGGCGCGGATCTAGAAATTTCTTGAGGGGGATGGGGGGGTCGGATTTTCAAAAAAAAACTTTTTTTTAGGTCGACCAAACTGATTTTCTGAGCTCTCCCCAATCACTATATAGACCTTACATTGACCAAATTTTCTGCGCCGCAAATGTTGGCAAATTTTTTTAAAAAACAGGGCAAAAAAGCATTTTTGGGTACATTTTGGAAAATTTTGGCCGGAAAATTGCTTTTTTTTCGGCACGCGCTACCCTCTCAAAATCAGTATTTATTGGCGTCAAAGGCGCCCATAGAAAAAAATTTAAGGTCAGTCATCTAAAATGGATATCTCAAAATAGTACAAAGGGGGACCCTTTGGGTCGGCAGGGGTTCGAATCCCTGAAAAAAAAGCGTCCGCAATCCCGCCCCCCGCCACCCCTAAATCCGCTACTGATTATACGGTTGCTTCAAAGAAGCAAAATGACTCCCAGACATTCAATATACAAAAAAAACAGACATTGTGACGACTTTGAAACATGTTGAACTGCAAAAACAGTATGAAATACGTACTGACTGTGTTTTTTTCATTGGAAGAAAAATCACTAACCAAGGAAAGACACGAAGAATGGGAGCACAGCCAAAAGGTCAATCAAGTTCAAGGGACTCTTCATGAACACACATTTGTCCGGACAAGATATGAACCGGATCAGGATCTCGAAGCAGAACCACAGTACACATACAGTCTCCGATACCACCAGAAAGTGTTTCGGGCGGGTCACTTTGCGCAGATTGGGGGTGGGCACTTGGGAGGCGGAAGAAAGGGTGTTGTTTTGGGGGATGTTGGGGTAATGTTGATCTGGGTTTGCATTGATGTAGACTGTGTCTACGAAGTACTCGTGGGTCTCGGCGCAGAATAGGGCTACTGAGGAGAGGATGAGGGTGAGAGATAGAAGGGCAAATACCTATAATTTTTGACTCATAATCCAAAAATATAGTTTTTGTAATTTATACCGTAGTAACTCGTTGGGTTGATTGCTTATGTAAATTCAATGAAACTTGTCCACAAAAGTTGGTCAGTTATTAGAGCGAAAGTTTTATGTTAAGATCAAGTCTTCACATTGGAAAAATGTTAATTTTATTGTACCTTGGCGGGCTTGGATGACATGGGGTCCTCACTCATCTGCCAGAGTAAGGCCATTTTCCGATTCCACGCAGACGCATTCTTGTCCAGAAGACGCAAATCACCACTAGAAGCACGCAACATCTTCAAGTTATTACCATTTTACTGAATTACATTTGAACAATTTCGCCCCTGTAGATACAGTTTTTCTGAGAGTTTCATTTGGTAAAGTTTTTAAATACAAATACGTTTCGCCAAAATTTCTCATGTTTGTCAGTCGTTATATTAAGAAAAAAGCTTATGAAATTAATGAACTTCAGCCGACCTCTCTTGCTTGTCCTCCTCGTCGAGTGCTTTGAGGGTGTTCTCGTTGTCCTCGTGGGATCGGAACACCTGCCAGCAGCATGACTCCAGGTGGGAGTGGTCCAGACCCCAAAAGAGCAGTTCCCGGTTGAACACTGGCCAGCAGATGTCTCTGGGCACGTGCAGCTCACCAGTGCGGTAATAATTCAGGATGTACTCGAAAAGGATGGGGTGGCGATCGAAGAAAAACCTGCAGAGAAAAGTTGGGTAAAGGCCTTTAGAATAATTTTAATTTTAGTAGTTTCTTAAAGTAGAACAACTGTGAGATAGCGACAATGAGCTTAAAGCAGCAACTACTGTCAAATGACTTCACGGAGTAGGAAGGAACTATGCGCAACCGTCTGCCGTTTGTATGCCTTTTTTGATTTTCAGACGAACTTGATGACACAGAATTTGAGCCTTATTTATTTTTTTAGGAATAGTTGCATCTAAGTTTTGCAGCTTTAACCTAATTCAGTCGCCTTTTGAAAAAATTCAGTCACCAGTGAAAAACAGAGCAAAAACTAATAAATGAAAAATGAATAATTTTCAAAAACTCATTGTTCCGACTTCTGACGAAAGTGACAAAATATTTTGGACGAAATGTTCCAAATTGGCCAAATTAGCAATTTTCAAACCCCAACAGATGAACTTTTAACATTTCAACTTCAAACAATAATATTTTTCAGATCTTATGACAAACTTTTGTCAAAACGCTTAGACAAAAGTCGAAATCTGACTGAACGAAGAACCACGCCAAGTATAATTATTTTTTCTTTATTTTTATTTGATTAAATTAACAACTTTCAGGGCCATGAAATATGAGCAGTCTTGTTGTTTTCTATCTTAAAACTTACATACTTTTCACAATTAATTGGTTCGTCTTTTCTTTCTGAAAGCTTTTTTTAGAAACGAACTGAATAGAGATTACTCTCGGCCTGCATGCAACCTGCTGCACGCAAAATGATGGCGACCATTGCACTTGTTTCACAATCAACATTATTGTTCACTAGCATAGATGATAATTCTTTCGGAGAGGGTACGAGAAATTCTAATCCTTTTCAATCGATTTTCAGGGTTTTTCTGTAAAAAGCAAAAGCAACCAACAATGATAATCAAATAAAGTATTTCTGAAAATGTGGCAACTATTTTTGATTATAATCAATTATCAGATTTTTTTGTTTGAGCTATAATCGAATAATTTTAGAAAAAAACGCGGTTATGATATATTTTAAATCTTTTAATTTAGAGAAATAATGATAGTGAACAGAATAATAGTCGGTACAAGTATAATAGTTGGGTCCCTTAAATTTAGATGGTCCCTGAACAAAATTTTGTAGGTCTGAAACTTCGAAAACATGGTTCGCATTTGTTTACTTGTGTTTTTGAAATTTTCTCAAAATTTGCGGGACCCATCTTAAATCATAAATTAATGGTCGAATTTCGGAGTCTAAGCATCTAGATGCGCTTTTCCTGACTTTTTGCCATTCTACTGTGGATATATCTTAACAAGGTTAGCCGGTTATTGTGCAAGTAGCACAGAATGTTCCGACAACAGTTTTTTTCTCAATTTCTTGTCGTTTTTTTGGGCAAACTGAAGCTAAGGTATATTCGACAGTTATAGTTAAAAAAAGCAAATTGAAAAGCAACTCTTGTAGAAAAATTACTTGAAAAACGAAAAAAAAACTATTCAAAAAGTTTTTGAAGTTTTTCAATTTTTTGATTTTTTGAAACTTTTGATTCCAAAAAGTCCAATAAAACACTAGGTTTTTACTTTTTAATTTAAGCTATTGTAAGCCAAGGTATTAAGCTTTTAAGCAATTAAAATAAGACTGCTTGCTCGCTTTACTTACTCAAATTAGACGAAAAATCAAAAACTTCAAACCGGTTTTTCTCGACACTGGGAAAATTGTTTTAAATTTTATAATGTGGATCTAATCACGACTGTAACGGCTTTCATATGATATATCACTCAACCTAATCCGATGATTGTTTGTGATACATGATTGTGCGTGGAAAACAGCAAAAGAACAAAAAACGAAAATACACCCAAAACAAATTTCCTCTTCATTATCAATGGTCGGAACAATTATACTTAATGGCAAAGTTTTTGTTAGTAGACTGGAGCTCTAAAATGTGATAGAGCGTAAAAACACTCACTGGTTGGTCTTTGAGTCATAGTGGTTTGGATGCATGAGGTCAGGGGGACACCTGGCCAGTTCACTCAGCCTTGTTCCCCCCACTGACTGCAGGGTGTTCCTGAAGGTGCAGAAGCACTTGCCCCCCACATTCAATTGCACCTTCTCCAGGGGAGCGCCCTCACACCGTCGCATTGTTGACAAGCTTAAAAAGTTTCAACCATTTTTCTCACAGTAGCTATGAAACAAAACTTCAATCTAAGATTTTTTTCAATGTCAAACCTTTTTAGGGAGTTATAGATAATCTATGGCAAAGGAAAACAAATATATGTTGTAGGTTTTTTATGCAATAAAAAATTTTGGGCAGTACTTACTGGCACAAAATATTTTAGATATTGGAGCCAGAAATCCTCGATGCCAGACAATTAAATACAATGGATCTGTTCATTAGTCAGCTTCAAATAACTCTGCTATTTTGTTTTAAATAATTTTGTAAGTCATCTAGAAAAATTCAGTTCAATTTTTAAACAAAAACAAAAAGTCATTATGGTAAGTTAATACTTACGTGCTAATTTTTTTTTCTAATGGTAACTTGAGCCCATCGGGTACTATTGAATGGATCTCATTGTTCAACGAGATGGTCTGCTCTTCACCAGCGGTGCTTTTTATCCCATCTATCTCGTCATAGCGCTGTTCCAGGGTTTCAATCTCATCCAAGGCACTTTGAATGTCTGGCCTAGTGAAGCAAAAGAAGAACTGCAAGGTTGGAATCAGTTTCAAAACAATCGAAAAATGGCCAAATTTTTTCAGAAGTTGTAAATTTTTAGTAAAATGTGAGATTTTTCTCAAAAATTAAGTAGGTAAGGTAATAAACAGGTTAGAATACAGTACTATAAATAACTTTTAGGCCGAAAAAAAGCTCAAAAGGAAATATTTAAATTTAATCCGGTCAATCTGTCTGTATGCCGCCGAGACGTATTTAGTCTTTTCAACTCAGCAGGTAACTGGCGGGAGCTTTTTTCTTGATTGAGCCAAGGACCACGTTGTCAGTTTTCATCAGCACCATGAAAAGCATGATTAGCCCTTAATCCCTTTAGAATTGTGAAAGTAAAATTGATTAACCACTCAATTTCAAGACTCCAAGAAGTACTAGTTTTCATTAAAAACTAAAATTCGTGTCTCCTATGACGTATGGCCTAAAAGCTCAAAAAGACAGGAAGAAAAATAAAAGGATAAATTGGAGCTAATTATAATTTTTTCCACTGTGTATCTACAATTGCGTGACTATTTAAAGAGGAAATGTCATTTACGTGACAGGAAACTATCAGGGGAAAAAGTAACCAGAACAAACTCTAACGTGTGAAAAAATACCAGTCTCAAAAATGCTTGAAATGTCAAGCATATAACTGAATTCGAAAAACCTATCTGCTAAGTGAAAAAATTAAGGTAGCCGGGAACGTTTTTTGTCATAGTCAATCGCTGCGAACGGAATGTAGTTATTGTGCGACTATTGAGACCGGGAAACATCCTTGACGGAGCCAATAGGCTCCGCTCTCGCTATCATGACGTGATCCAACATTCTTTCTTTAGAGTATGAAAGCGGTCTTTTCTAGAGTAATAATTGTTTCCTCGATTGGCGCACAAGTTGAATTTTTATCTTAAGGCGTTGATGCTAGGCAGATTTTTAGAGTGTTCCGATTTGTACAGAAAACAACGAAACCTGGCACATGCGCTGAGTCTTTTTAGACGGAAGCCAAATTAGCAAACAAAAAACTATACCCGAATAATCTGGGTTGATTTCCCATTAAAAACCAGCGCTGTAAAGGTGTAAACACAGCAACCGCCATCTTGTAATTAACCATTT